ATATTATGCATACTATTATGCACCATGTAAATTATTAAAGAACAGACATTTATCGTAATACCTTTGGTCAATGACTTGTTATTGTTAATTATAGTACGACAACTGTACATAGTGTTTACAAATTTCTATTAGTCCAGTTCATGTTTAAAAATATAACAATATATAATACACATTTAGTAAAAAAAAAAAAAGATAGTAATAATTGGCTGGATAAATAAATCTGTTTAATATTAAAACCAAAAAAAGCATTATGTTCTTGAAGAAAATATCTTGAGAAAGAGAGCTAAAAGGACCAATGTTCTAGTTATACACCTAACATGTAACTATGTAAATTAGAATTTTGGACTAGTTTGGTTATCGTTACAAACTTTAACTGTTAGAAGTGGAGACTTGTAGAACGTCCGTTAAAAAAAAAAAAAAATAACAACAAGAACTTAATAACCTACAGTTTTTATTGGTACTTGTTTCGGTTTTGTACGTGTAGTTGGTAGATACATTCTTCACAGTTTACGGAAAAAAAATGTGTTTATGTACAGCCACCTGATCGCTGACTGTAAAATACGACGTTATGATGTCAAATGAAATAATCGTCTCTCTGCACAAGGTTCAGATATAATATACTATATTATATTATGTAAAATTATACACACATAATAATATCCGACCGCGTATTATACGTGCGCACATTAATTTACTGTCAATTATCGTGTACTGTGCACAGCAGTGGCAAACGCGTCCCGCTGTTTGGAATTTAAGCGCCGGCGCAAACGATTTGAACGGCTTAAATCACAGTGCGCTATACTCGTCAGTCGCCGTTGCACAGAACCCGGAAATATTATTACGTGTAACGGTATTACGGCGTTTTCTGTGGCGAGATAGCGAATTTAATTCTGTTTTATAATAATTTACCGAAATGATCCATTAAAATATTATATTATTATTATTGTTATTGTCACAGCATAATACATGCACACACGTCATATATATACATATATATACTTTATTAAAATATATATCCTCCGAGTGCTTTGTTATTGTGTGTGGGCGCGCGCGCGTACAAAGGATTATGTATTATTATAAATATAATGTATATGCGTCGTGTTCATAATAACGAGACAGACAGACAGGCGCGCGCGCGCACGCAAAATGTAATAATTACGTTTCGTCAATTCAACAAAGTACGCAGTTTGTTCTCCAGCGATAACTTTGGGATGGCTGTTGAACAAGAATGTAGCGCACACACACACAAGAATAAATGTCATGTCATTACCGACCCGAATATAATACCCAATACTGGCTCATTATTAGGGGCCAAATCAGACAACTTAATCGCGCACTAGTAAATACTGGGTTGGTTATTACTATTGCTGCATGTCGTGATTATCGTAGCAAAGATACTTTTGATTTAATAATAATGGAAATTAGAAACACGCTAGACGACAATCGTTACTGATAAAAGTGCGATTTAAAGGGACTCAAAATCGTATGCCAATTATCGACAGTAATTTGATCAAATGAAATATTATATTATATTTCCTGATGGATTCAAAATTAAATTAATGATTCGCACTCGTCATCGTACATTGTGAGCTCAGAACCAAATGTCACAATTAAGAAGCGATAAATTTAATAATATTTTATTTTTGAACATCAGCCAGTTATTATTTGAACTATTTTTAAACAAAAGTTTATATTCGTATAATTATACTTTAATATAGCAGTAAGTAGTTGTGATAATTTTTAATTTAACGAAATTCTGATTTGAGTAATATCGCTGCGCAGTTCAAATACTAAATAAAAAGTATATGATGATAATATGCAATAACAATTGAAATACTTTTAAATTGACGGGAAATATTTTTAAAAAGTATGGAGTGTTAGTTTATATTCTCGAACAATTCTTTGTATTTCATTAATGTTGAATCAGCGCTGTGGTATAAGTAATTTTAGATTAAAATGTATTCATAAGAATTTCACCAAAATACTAATAAACAAAAAGATTCTTGAAGCTTTATTTCAAATCCCAAAACTTTATTCTGAGTTTGTAAAAATAACAATATTTTGTTTTTTTTTATCTTTATGACATACAAAAACTATGATCCTTCAAAAAAAAAAAAATAATAATAATAATAATCTTACAGAATAAAGAAAAATTAATGTAAACCTTTCCTTGTCAATCAGTTATTATCGCTGTTTATTTTTTCCCCCACGAGAACATGACTTCTACGTTTTTATAATATTACCTGTACATATATTTAGCTAAAAAACTGTATCGTTTTCCCGTAATAGAATTGGCGGTGACTAATAAAAAATGTACTTTGTGGCTTACATGCGTCCCCGAGGACTAGAAATAATTCACAAACCATACCATGTCCAAATTAACCGTATCGTTGACGGATAAAAAAAAAAAAGAAGAAAAATACCAAGAGACGTATTATGGTAATACATAAGTTTTTCCCTTAATAAAAACAAATATTATTCTCGTGGCACGTGTGAGGATTGTTATACGTTTAAGGTTTTGCAAATGACCATTAAATTAGGTTTCAAGAATGTTAGCTCTATGCGTTTAGGCCCATTATACGAAGTTTCGTCCGAAAACTTTTATCCAAAACTCTTTGGGTCCCAATTTAATCTAAGTAAAATTTACACTGTGTCTGTCATCGTTATATCTAATTTATGTTGTCTAGGCAACTTTCATTCGACGTATTATTTGGCTAAAAAATGTTTTGAGTAAAGTAAATGTAGTATAATAAGGTATTAAATGTATTGTAATTTAATACATTAAGGCGATTTTATAATACATGCTTATGCCATCTGATATCAATGCGATTTGACAAATAATTTTTTTTTAAACTAAACCCATGAGTATATTGATATTAATTTCTGACATTTAAACAGCATCTATAATATTACCCGAAACATATTTCTAACTTTATATACGCCTAATACGTTAATAATATTACGTTAATATGTTTTTATATATAATTAATATGTTATTCTTAGCAGATTTGTTATCTCATCATATTATTCGTTTGGTAATTAAAAAGATACAAATAATATAAATTATAAACATTTGATTGTATCCACGGTACTGGATTTGTGGAGGAAGTTATTTTAATTGAAATTTAATTTCAAGTACTGTGATAAATCTATACGTTTTGAAAAATAAACTCTAGGGAAATTCTAATTTAAGATACAGTTTTTAATAGGTCTGGTGTATACTTTTTTTTTTTTTTTGGTTTTGTCAATCCTCACAATTGTTTCTAAAATCAAAAAACAAAAAAACCACTTACCATTATTAAAAAAAAAAAAATGTTTATTTTCAATTTCCAATATCGTGGCTTGTTGAGCTTTTTCATCATGACATATATCATATTAAAACCAATAGCACTGTTACTAGTTTTGTTATATTTAATATATTAAAAAAAATATATAAGTTGAACACAATATATTGTAGGTAGCTATGATTCAAATGACTTGGTTTTTTTAAATTATTTTTTAATAGTTATTTTTACATTAAATTACATGTAATAAATTTAAATGATTTTCTTGTTTCTTTAATTTAATTAAACTGGTGTAGTGGTAATAAATTATACGTTTTTAACTGGCAATTTAACAATACATATTTTTTCATTTGCTTAACTTAACTAAATTAGTTCGCTAATCAGTATTAAATAAAAACAAATAATCAAGTATTTTATTTTTTTTTTTTAAACTTACTAAAATATTCATTTGGTTTTGTTAATGTCTTATCGAATAATAAATTCGTATTCGAATAAAACTAAGTATGATAATATCAGTTTATATAGTTCAACGTAAGAAGCAGACATTTTGATATTATGTAAGTATAGTATAATACGTATATATTTTTTTTTTATTTTACATTCCTTCATATTAGACTTATACTCATCGAACTACATAGATACGTATACAATTTTAACAATTTTCATTTATATAAATGCTTACATTTATTATACATAAAATATTGATTATAATAAATTAGAAATTAACAGCTGGAATTTTAATCGATTTAACAGGTACTCGTGGTTATATATATCATGTCTTATAATATATAGTATCTAAATCACGTTACTGTATACGATAGATACTTACATATTATTGAATAGTAATAAACAGTTCAAGGCAGGTTATTTTTTAAACAAATTTTCAATTTCAGAAATAAATTTTAATTGACTTCACTCAGCGACTGTGTGACTTTGTGAATAATAATAATACTTTAAGTAAAGGAAAAACATTCAGAAGTTTTATTTTTATTTAGCTTATTCACGCTAAAGGTATGATGTGAAATTAATGTAATTTACTGATGAAACATTAGAATTTGAAAAACAAAACAAAAGAAGCTGGCAGTCATCTCTATCTCCCATTTTCAAAACTTTTACTGCTATTCCAATGTGTAAGTATAATAATGAACAATAAACACAAAACACTGATAATAACATTTCAGTAATTATATAATTATAAGGCCAATATAAAAAAAAACATCATTAGGCGATATGTATATATTTACACTCGTCTCAATGAACGAACTTTTTCCACCTAAAGATTCCCTGTGAACGTAGCATTGGTATATGATCACTATGAATATCATAACAACATCCATGAATAACTAATTATTTCTAATATTTTACTTAAATTTAATGTGATTATAAATAAGTTTAAAAATTAAAAGCTGAAATTTAATCTGGATAAAATTAAGTGGTTATCTAGAAAATGAAATGAAAATAAAAATATACATTTTGGACAAATAATAATACGTGAAAACGGCCGCATGTGTCAAAACCAAAAAAAAAAAAAAAAAAATGACATTCGGCATGGGACAATTGTTTCAGTTGACAAAATGAAAATAATAATAATAATATATTCTGTTATTTACAATAATTGAAATGTTAAATAAAAATCGCTTGTTTGTATTGTGTTTAAATATAATAATAATAAGTATATGTACATGGTTTTAGTATCGAACACAATGTGGTACTTACATTTTGGGTTATCCAGTGACGCGACTAACGTAATCGACCTGAATATTCTGTTTCGCTGCTCTCTGTATTATTTAATATTATATTTTAAATATCTAAAACACAAAAAAAAAAAAATCAGTTGGTTACAGCACGAATAGGTATAATAACACTGTAATAAACAATGACTGAAATATTGTTATAGTATTAATAACGATATTATTATATAATTTAGTTGTTTTTGAATGATCGATCTTAGTCATCGTACAACTATTTTCAGTAAAGTCATTGAAACACAAACATCTTACAAAATCTAAACTCATTAAGCTCATAATAACTGTTCCGTATTATGTCTAGAATGACATATATTATACTATTATTCATCATACAATATTATATAAAGTATATCGATAATTAATATTATCTGTACACAAGTCAAAAATTATGTGTGTGATATAATATCACGATAATAACAATAATAATTTGCATGCAATTATTTTTAACGGTATAAATTTTAAATTGCCGGACCTAAAGGTTGAATTATTCAAAATTACTTTTTTTTTTTTATCTTGTTTATAAATTGTAGCAGATGTTTCGCGATGACTATTACCCATGTAATTACAATAGTATGTTGCAAAATGATGCATGTCAAAAAAACGTCGCTTGTACGAGAGATTTCCCTAGGGCGTTTAGCGATGCTTTGTACAGAGGAGGCAACCGCGTATAATGTACGGAAAATAGCTTAATTTAATTATACATAGAATTTTATACATTCAAGTGTCTTATCTCATTATTTTGTTAAATTTTAATACACTATATGTTACGTATTAACTTGTATATAATTATACTTCATCACTAAACGATATTATTTTAAATACGAATTACATTTTTAAGTATTATTATTTTATTTTTAAACTCAAGAGCGGAATTTTTTAGGAGTATTTTGGTACATAAAAATCAAACTTCAAACAAGCGAGAAGTTAATTAGTTGTACGTAGTCAAGTACCAAATTAAAGTTTTTATGAGCAGTGAAGTAATAGACAAACATTTAGTGGACTACCCTTGTGTCACACGACAACATTCGTTGAAACTTAATTTCTTATTACTAACTACTTACCTTTTAAAATAATAACCATACAAATTTTTAAAAAATAAATTTTTTTTTATCAAACATTTATGTTGTTTTACAATAAATAAAATAATGCTTTTCTAAAAATAACGAGTGTAGACACTAAAATAGATCACTTTTTATAGTATATAAAATACATAGCCGTTCGTATATACAGTATACATCCCTGTACACTTAATAATAATATAAAGTTTACGTGTCAAAACCAATCCCCTCACGGGCATCGCGTGCATGCATTAAATGATACTTGGCGTTGTAGTTTTCGAAAAGTATTTTAGATATTATGTAGCTACGTATATACGTGAAAGTTCAGTCGCGTAAGCATGTATAATATATATATATATATATATAACCCATAATCGAGCAGCAGTATTGCATCACGAGTGAAAAATTGCTCAGGAAAATATTATACAGTATAATATACCAATCGGTTATTACCATTATTATAACAGTCATCATAACTTAGTTTATTTTTATTTTTGTAAAGAACTATAGGATATTTTATTTTTTTTTTGAGGGATTGTACACACGATTCAACATTATTTATACCCGAATTTCGTGTACTATCCCGTTTCGAATAGTTCTTTGCGGCGAAAACCCAACTGTCAATAATTTCGTTCTTCGTTTCCTTTATTTCTTATTGCTGTTGTTGTAGTTGTTGTCGATTTATTTTCTAATTACGTTCCACGGAATCTGTGATGTGTTTCCAGAGAGTACGTCATTCGTTAAATTAAATAAAGGGAGCAACAACATTCGGGAAAAAAGAGAGAATAACATACAAATTCGTTGAAAGGTAAATCGGATGGGATCAATGCCATGAATTTACTTAACGGATTGACGTTTCGATCCAACAGTTACGACTCTGCCCCGATGGACACTACATGTATTATACATATGTACATCGAATAAATCTTCGTCACAACGCGAAATTAACCGCAGTGCTAATGCATTGTATTATTGCTTTCTATAAACACACATACATTGATTGTTGTTATATCGTGTTATTCTTTTCCCGGATGATGACCAACGCAGTTTCTGTATTCTGTTGTTGCTTTTGCCTGAGTTATACGAGTATGACGGAAACGAGCTAATATTAATAACAATATATGATACAAACATTATTATTCGTCTTACTATCGTCATCGTAACACTGTCGTCAACAGTGACGCGTGTCCCAAAATTAAAACATCCATGGTGAAAAGTCAATATATATAGTCGGAACGACGGCAATCGAGCTTCTGGTTCAACGCTTTTCCGGGACCGATTCGCACGCCTTGAATGAGTACGTTCGCTTGACAAAAACATGTACACCCGTTTCAATTTGTCATGTTTTGTTTCCATACAACGCAGGTCCCGTTTGCACCAAAGAGAATTAATCAGTGTATACGCCACACACTCATCCCTCTCCCATAAAGAAGAAAATAGTTTATTTGAATGAAAGGGCTGGTGATGTTCTGCTATAGTATTATTATGCACATGATTATCGTTAAACTGAAGAACGCAATACATTCTGTTTTAACAATTTATATTATTCTCTATGATTTAGTCAATATTTTATCACACGTATTGCAACTAAGAAAAAACAATTAAATTTTTTATAAAAGATTCTTTTGCTCGAAGTTTACAGATATAATGAGAAAACTTCATAGCACCTATATAATTTACTTACCAATTTAAGACATACTACGTTCTTATATAGACCGAGCTTTTTTCAGCCTTGCATATAATGCTGACCTATTTTAGTTATTAATTTTTAAACAACTACATTCTTATAAAAATAAAGTTCTTAATTTTTTGACAAAAAGGACAATATGTACTCAAACATATATGACCATAGAATTCAAATATAGAATGGGTTAGTTTTTTTCCGGTACACTACTCCAGTTGCCAACATTATTTTAGTTTATCTATACTTGTATATTTTGTTGATCATAAAAAAATCTCCAAATAACTCCCTTTCTTTTTTAAAAAAATCTTATAATATGAACTAAAATATCGCCATCTGGTAAAAAAAAATATACTTAATGCATAATATGGTTTGCACTTTATTCTCTGTATTTTTAGACATGACAAATAATAGGAGTTTAATATTTTTTTTGTTTGTTCAAAATAACAATAAATAAGCTCCTTCTGAAAGCGAATAAAGGTTGAAATGTATATATTTTATAATATGTATTAATGTTAAAAGGATCCTTCCGACATTTACGGTGCATCGACTATGATAGAGCTTGAGTGGAAATGCTAGGTGGCGCTGTAGACACGGCTGTAAGACGTTTGAGATAAATATGATATAATATATAAGTAAAAGTGTCAACCAAGTTCTCACGCTCACTTATAAATCGTTATATTTGCATGCGCGTAAAACCATACGTATGCGTGATGTATAAAGATGTAATACTATAGCTGTGTATGGTGTGACGAACGATTTAACGGCTGGTGTTGGGGTGAATATGATACGTTACCCATTGAGCTAATAACTAATTTAACATTACAATATCCATTATCCACATTCATTAATACCAATCTACCTAAATAATACACTGTCGGATCGTATTATATAATATAACGTTGTTTGTCGATGAAGACATCTTACACGGGTGGTAAGTATTATAATTCACATAGGTGGGTGTATGGTAATAATTTATAACCATTAGACATTATAATTTAAGTAATATATTATACAATACATATTATGTACTTATATGATATCATAGATTGACTTTCTGATCGTGACTACGAATACCGTCGCTGGGTTTAATTTCGAATAATTATCGATTATTGCCCGCGCATATTGTATTAGCAGCCCAGCGTACATATGCGTGCGCGCTCTTCAATCAATCATCGGATTTCTGTTGCAGGACTATCCGACTGGAAGACTTTCTCTCCCTCTCTCTTTGATTGGAATGACAACTTTTGGGGACTTCCGATTGTATGAGTGAGTGCGCCCGCCAAACTATACATTATTAATACGTGGATATACTACGATGCGTTCTGCGGGTAGTGTGAGTCGAGGCAGTTTTCTGTTGCAGCATACGGATATATACCGTTATATTATATAATCATATTATGTATATCCTTCACGGGCACGGCTTAACACGAAAATAAACTAACCTTCACCACAGTATGTGTTTGTGTGTGTGTGTGTGTGTGCTTGCAGTTGTAGGTAAATGAGTGAAGATTGAAAAAAATCACACTGGCATGGTAGTTTGCTGTGGCCAGTGACGGCAGATATCATAATTTTTAATGTATTCAAGTATATTACACGGAAATCAAAATCGCTGGTATAGATTTGAACGACTGATCATAATATGTTTACCTAGTTTCTATGTATAGGATTATTTATGGAAATTGGCGAGAACGATCGGCGTCTCCCGTCAAAACACTGTAGTACCATTAATAAGGACATTTTTATAAAACTGTAACGAACGCATCAAGTTTGTAGTGCCTTGTGTATGTTTTACGATGGTTTTGTTCCACGGCTCCGCTCAATATTATTTTCCATTCCTAAAAGTATTTAACCCTATACATTAGTGCAATGTTGGAAGAAATTGTATACTATTTGAAGTATGCATTAATAAATTTACAAACTTGTCAAACATAAACTTCAAATGGGTTTTTAAGAACACACTTATATAAGTTTTAAAGACTTGGTTCAAATAAAATACTTAAAAATATGGTTTAATTTTATGATATTTTTTCTCGCCAACAAGCAGATAATGTATGATTGATACAATTTAAAACAATTTTAATACATTTTAAATAATCATTAAATATATTCCATATCATATGTAACGATGTTCGAATGGTTTTCAGATTGTATGAAAGCATACATTTGAATCGAATTAGTATTCCTATCGGATTTTTTATTATTAATTTAATTATTATCGTAATACAATTACTCTTCCACAAGTATTGAATGTATAATATAAAATACATTTTTTACAAAGCTTGGAAGTGTTACGTTTACGAATATTTTTTACATATTTT